GAACTGCTCTCTGGGAGGGCAGGGAGGCTCTCCCCATCGTGGGCAATGGGCAAAAAGCAGTGAGTGTGGGGCCGTGCCATGAGCCTTCACGAACCGGAGGGAGGCGTTTGCTTGCCCCGGCAAAAGTGCATTTTGCTCCTGCCTCCTGGGTTTCAGAGACGCTCGAACCACTTGGGACCCAGCCCTGCCGCACTGCCCACCCCTGTGTCTGTCGGCTGGAAAGCAGCGATGGGTAATGCCGGGGCACGCCAGCAGCACCTAAGCACAAGCAGTGTGGATTGATTAGATGGTGTTTCCACTAGGGTTTTGCGATACTGCAATACTGGTGAGACTAATCTGTGCGCTGCTTTGCAGCACGTGGCTGTGCTGTGCCTCTGCCTTGCAACCTGTGTCCCTGTTGTGATTCCCTTTTTCTTCCCGTGGTCCCAGCTGGCGTCTCTCTTCGCTGTCTGGCTATGAACTCTCAGAGCTGAGCTGCTGCGCATGTGGGGCCCGTTTTGTCTCTGCGTCCCGGGAGTGCTGGGCAGTGGGGTGGGAGAGGCAGAACCTGCATCCCGTGCAGGTACCGTTTGGTGCTGAGGTTTCACTGGGGAAAGAGATCCCCAGGCTCACGTAGTAACACTGTGAAAGGTTTGTGCAGGTCTGTTGTCCAGTAGCACTAGGAAGGTGTTTGGGGCAGTGGGTGGCAGTGCTAGGAGGAGCAGTGCTGGAGAAGGGCTTTCTTAGGGAGGGGAGCGTGTTGAAGGAGGGCTCTGGGCAGGAGGGGGGCAGCACCGAGGGAAGCAAATGGTATTGGCTGGGTTTGCAGGGAATGACACACGGGAGCTGTGGTTCCAGCGTGCCAAAGGCTCGCATGGCCCTAGCAGAAGGGGGCGTATCTATTTCATGCCAGGCCGTGCCCCTCCTCTCTTGGGAGCCTGGGTCCTTTTTTACCTCCTAGGTGGAACATAGGATCGAGCCTCCTTTAATGGTTTCTTCTACTGCTCGTATTGGAGGGGTGCCTGCCCCTCTGTCCGCGCTGTTCCCCTTGTTTCTATGTGAAGCTGGCTATCTCTGCACACTCTGCTGTGGGAACCGTGTTCTGGAGATGACGAACCTGCCCGCTCCAGCACCGTCCAGCGTAGTGCTAGATGGTTGTGAGGTGCACATCCAAGCCCTGCCTCCATGCTATGCATTACAACTTTTTGCTTGTGAGTCAACATGAGATGTGAGTTGGTTTGCGGTGGCAGGGCTTATTTGCTCTAATTTGAGTCAGCCCATGGTGTCGGGTGGGGAAAGCGGAGGGCAGAAGTTCTGCATTAAAGAAAGGACGGCTGAAAACAGAGCAGGCGAATCCTTGAGCTATACCTGACCTACATCTCAAAATCTTGCAGCTGGCAGACAAACTGGGTGACTCCAGGAAGTCTGAATGTTAGAGCATTTCCATGGCCTTTGGTTTCTGGACCTATGGGGTTCCTTTTTCCAGGATTTTCCTTGAACCAGCAGGGCAAGGTGCTTTTTTTTTACCTGCTCCCATGTGTCTATGTGTTGCTAGCTGGGTCTGACTTTGTCCGATCTGCTGGGCATGGCAGTATTTTAGAGGAATTATTAAATCTTTCCATGCTGTAGGCAGAGCAGTGCTATTACCATGTTGAACAGATGAAGTACTGGGACAGAGAGACAAGGCAAAGGCCTAGGTCTGCAAAAACAAGCGTGCACTTAATTTCTGTGGATTGCAGGAAGAATTAGGTGCCCGACTACCTGAATGGTTGAGGGGCTAAATGAAGTGACCAGTTTGTAGAGCAGCACCTTGCCAGTAGATCCTGGAGCATGTTGTTACCTTCTAAGATCCAGATCTCTGCCCAGTCTCAGGACTGGCACCTCTAATAGCAAAAGCTACAGGAGGTGACTGTGCAGAGGAGATCCTTGCTCTGTTTTTAGGGGAGCATGTAGTGATGCTGAGGAAAGGAGGGTTTTGTCAAAAATGTGCTCCTGTTTATGGAAATGGTTCTTCCTCCCTGGGCTCTGTGTGTTGCACCATGCTGGAGTTGTTGGCCCTGGGGCAACGTTAAGACCAGAGAGCACTGCTGTGACCTGTCTCTTGAGATACTGGGGCACTCTGAAATGGCCGCCCTCCCACTGCTTGAATTAAACAGTTCTTCTGCAGCATCTTAAGAAGGCACAGAGCTTTGTTCCTAAAGGAAAAAAGAGGCCAAGATCCTTACTGAGGTCATGGAGTATGAGCTGGTGTAAGCGTGCAGTGCCGTAGATCCAGAGTAACATCAGGGAGCCAAAGTTCTCCGCCATCCCTGCTGTGCTGTCAGCCCTTTGCCAGGGCATCCCTCCAGGACAGAGAGGGATGACTTGATACCACAAATGCGAAAAGGAGCAATGGCTTTCTGAAGCTGTAGTTCCACGCTACAAAGAATCGGGACAGGTGGTGATATCTCTGCTCTCTGATTTGGACCTGCCCTTTCTGGAAGATTGTGCTGATCTGGTTGCATGCCATCTCTTTGAAAGTCAGCAAAAAACAGGGCCTCTAGCTAGATTTACTCTTCAATGTTGTGGTGGTCCTACCTTGCCATAAAGGAACTGAGAAGCTGGTCATTTTGAGGGGAATAGTGTGATAAACACTGTGTGCCTGGGTGCTTGGCCCTTTTTAGACTACTTCCCATTCCCTAGCACATGCATTGCAGGGCTGATGACAACAAATACTGCATGTCTGGGGTGCTCCAGCCACTGATAGATAGCCTTGGGAGTAGTCTGACCCTGCGTGGTTGGCAGAACAAGGCTTAATGCATGCTTAAATTGCCTAAAGATAGTCCAAGTCAGTTGGTGATGTTGGACAGTTGTAAGTGCCCTGCAGTCTCCTTTCATGAATACTTGTGGCTGTGATCACTGTGACCAGTGCACGGTATCTTCCTGAGCTATGTGGGAAGAGGACTGTGGTGCTGTTGACTGCTAGCACCCTGTTTTGGCCCTCAGTGCTTTATGTTTCTGCAGAGAGCTGAGTCTGATGACTGGGACTGATCCTGAGGTGAGAGGCTGGGTTAGGTGTTGCAGAAAGGAGAAATGCTGGGTGGAGACTTCGCTTAACTGAGAAGGGCTCTAAGAGGAGGTATACTGCCGTGGAGATGTGGTGGCTGGATGGCTCTTGCTTATCTCCACCTTCTCCAGGACAATTGAGGACAACTCCTTTGGGCAACCTGCTTTTGTCTCCACTCACATCTAAAAAAGATGGAAATGCCCAGAGGGACAGATGCGTTCAGTCATCATTCTGTCCCTGTTGGGGCACCTTTATGCCAAGAACAGCACCCTCCTCTCTCTGCAGGCTGCAGAGACAGCCCGTGCCCCTGCTAGTAGGCAGTTCTGTGCCGTGGTCTCAGGATCCCTTTGCTGTAATGGCCTTTTGGTGATATGTGGGATCGGATGGTCTTGCACTGAGGAGTGAGCTTCTTCATGCTGGACGCTTGTCTCTGAGAATTGGGTTAATTGGGCCGGGAGGCTAAGCTTTCCCAGCTGTTTTTTTGCTAGGAATAAACTCCTGATTGCACATGCACCAAATCCTTTCTGGGAATGCTGTACTGAATGCATAGGCAGCCCAGGGACCCCCAGATCCCTGGCCCAGCTCAGTTTGGGCCATTCACTCCAGTCGGGCCCAAAGCGGGTGACTCCTCCTCCTTGGGAGCTGGGATCATGCTGGGAGCTTAGATTACATTTAAATTGCCATTTGCATTTTCCAATCAATACACGACTTTACAATTAAGTTTGGTGTTAAAATTCTTAGCAAAAAGTGAGTGGAAGGGAGATTTGTGGAGTAAACGAGTCCTTTGGGGGCCATCGCTGCTCCCTGCTTCATTACGCTGCATATTGCTGCTGCTGCTTTTACTGTGCACCACCACAACCCGAACACAACACAGAAACAATCACACTGGCCAACAAAATGCAGGAAAAGAAAGGAAAAGTGGGGAGTGGAAGAGGGTTGAGCTCTCCTGCCTCTCATCTCTGACATGTTCTTTCCTTCATGTATGACAGTCAGGAAGAAACTTCTGCAAGAGTTATTTCTTGTAAATCTTTCCATGAGAGTTAGAGGGTGCCTGAGGTGTAATAATGCACGTGCGTGTGTGTTTGAGCAGTGTGCAGGGTTGCCATGTGCAGGCCTGAGAAGCCACGGGTATTGGGTGCACACGTGGAGCTACAGAGGTATGTTGGGGTGTATGCGTGCACATGAGCATACCGAATACGTGCATGGAGGTGATGAGCTCTGCGGGGAGGATGGGCACATTTTTGGAGATACTGCACCTCCCTATATCATCCACATTCCTGCATTTCACCTGGCTTTGTCCTTCTTGCCATTTCTCACTTTTCTTTGAGTTGTGGGGTCTTGCTCCATTGCTCAGAAGACAAGAAAAAGAATTCTCTAGATGCTGCTGGTCTAAATCTCCACATTTCACCACCAAAAAGGAAAAGAAGTTGGGCTAGTAAGTAACCTTGATGCTGTCAGCACAGCAACACCGTTAAAACCTGGAATCTTCTCAGCTTCTATCTCCTGCCTCTTAATCTCTAACATAGCAGTGAAGAGCAAGTCTAACTGTAAGCTCTATCCCTGGATTCAGCTGTTTCTTGCAAATATTTGGTCTTAAGTCCCCCCCCCCACCCCAATTTTATTACATGTTTACTTAGATTGTGTAGTTGCTCCCAATTTCTCAGGAAAGTTTTGGACTCTCATGCCTTCTGGGTTGAAAAAGGAGCTGCTGGTACTTAACTCTGTTTCCAGGTCTGGTTTTGCTTATTTTTCAGTTTTTGAAGTTCCAGATTTGTGTGCTAAACTATAATTGCAGCTGAACTCTTCTCTGCAGACAACACATTTTGGGGGCTTGATAGAGGATGCAGCAGTGTGAAAGGGTTGAATAGCTGTTCTTGCAGCACCAAGTTGTATCGAGTTGAAGAGATATTAAGGAGAACAGAGGCAGCTAGAATTTTTGGGTTGTAGTACGTGTTGGCAGATCAGACTTTAGAACTTACAAATTTTAAAACCAGAAGGGATCTTTCTGACCACCCAATATAACACAAGCCAGATGATTTCACCCAGTGACTTTGAACCAGACTTGTAAGTTCAGTCTGGTCTATGGCAGATTTGTTTGAAAGATAAAAGTATAGTTCTCAAATACAGAGACTCCGCCATTTATCCAGATTAGTTGTGGTAATAGTAAATTAACTGCAAACATTTTGAGTGCTGTTTGTGGCCTGGTTTTCTTTTTTTGTTTGTTTCCTCTGGCTTATGTGTCTAATTTAAAGATTCTATTCATGTCTTACTGTAGAAGACATGTTTCCAGATCACAAGTGTCTTTCATTTTTCAGTGTTCCACCCACCTTGGACTTAGTATCCATTAATAGTCTTGTGAATCATTTGCATACAGAAGCAATGGCACTGGCTCTGCAGCTGGCCTCCAGGCAGCAGGCATGTACCCTTTGGCTGTCCAACAGACCAGTTACCGTTTGCAGAATAGCTTACCAGCAGCACAATGTACTTCTGGACTAGCCACAGCCTGTTTCCCGGCCAAGAAACCAACCAAAAATGTAGGTGTGGAGCATGATAGAGAAGCTTAGGGTATTGGAGTAGCCAGGGCTTCAGAGGAGGTGGGGTCAGCTGGGGATAGTGTGACAGAGGAAGACTTGTGATGGTCCGCTTACAGGCTCATGTTGGGCATTGCTGTGGAATATTACTGATACTCCATAGTATCAGTTAACCACGGTTAACTGATACACAAATGGCTGGAAAGCCTTGCTCAGGTTGTTCAGGGAATGACTGTAAATGGTGAACTGAATGGGGACCTGCAGTCTGTCTTTGATCTGATGTCATCCAGTGCATCTTCATTCATCTTCCTGACTGGGGTGATAGAAAAGATTATGTGCTTATTAAGTGTGTAGGAGGCACCAAGTTGGAAAGGCTACAAACAGGTTCATATACAGGTCTGAAATTCAAAACGCTCTCAGTAACCTGGAGAACACAGGATATGATTCTAAAAGGACAAATCAAAGGCTTTGTATGTGAGGAGGAATAATCATTTTCAGCGTATGGGAAATGCATGGCCTGGTGCTAAAGAAAAAGATGTTATCAGTGGTAGATCAGAACCAGAGCAGGGCCAGCCATACCCTGCTGCTTAAAAAATGCAAGTATTGCACAGTATGCATGAGAGTATTGCTTACCAGACACATGAAGCAATCTTCCCTCTAGGCACGATAAGGCCTCAAGTGGGCTACTGGGTCCGGTCTTGGACACTGCACTTCAAGCTCTGGAACAACTGAAGACCGTCCAGAGGAGACAGGGTTAACACTCTGAGAAGAACGTTCTACCAAGCAAGAGTGACCACATGTCCAGGGATGGGAAGACTGCAGGGAGACACAATAGCAGTCTTCAGATATATTAAAGGCTGCAGCAAAGGACATGGGACTGTTCCCTGTGATAGGGCAAGCAGTGCGCTGCTGTTTCATCGAGGGAGGTGTAGGAAAGCATGAGGAACAGATCTCTTGTGGGTGGAGTGGAACCTCAGTCGCTGGCAGTTCCTACAAAAAGGCTGGAGTGACATGGGCACACCGGTGCCGCTGGGTGGCCTCTGAATGCACTTCCAGCCCCGTTTCTCTATGATAATATCACACCTGGAAATAGTATCATCTGCCTTGTGCAATCCGATAGTCCTCTGCTTCTACGTTTCCAGGTTCAGTTACCTTCTTAATGACAGTGTTAACACTGCAAGCTCAAAACCTGTTTAGTGATGGCACTTTGCAGCCAAGAGAGCCAACCCTGTGAGATGATCTGGCAGGCTCTGTTCCTGGATGCAAGACCTTGTATGAATTGTGCTAAAATCCATACTGTTCTTAAGAGCCCAGTTTGCCAAGTGATCTGAAGCAGTTTGTGTTAACAACCAGTCACCGCACTGATTTACTCCCTGCAGTTTCTGTGTTTTCTTCAGATTTTCTCACTGAGTGTTTTCTTTCAGCTCATCAGGTAAGACATTGATTAAATAGCATGGATCGAACGTAGATTGGTTGGACCTCTATGCAAATATTTCTTTGGGACATGGATTTACCATTTATGATTAGACTGTTGTGGTCATTTATGATTACATTTTGTGACCTTCTACTTGACCAGTTTTTACTCCATATATTAATGATGATAAGGATTTTATGCAGTGTTATTTTAATGGTGTGTGCCAATCAGTTAAAATCCTTACAGAAATCTAAAAATGCTGTGTCAACAGTTACCTTTGTTATCTTACAAAAAGTAACATCGGACTTCTCTGATGACCTATTTCCATGTCAATTGGTGTTAGTTATGCTGCTGTCCTTTCATTCTTTGCTGATTGCTTGTTGTGTTGGCTTTTCCAGTTTTGCCCAGTATAAGCATCAAACTAACTGTCCGTAATTACAAGGGTCATTGCTTTTTCCCTTGCAAATTTTGGCAAGGCATGAGCTTTCAGACTGCTTCTGTGTTTTAAGGCATGTTAAAATCAGTACCTTTTAACCACTGCAAAATGAGCTCTTCAGCTAATTTTTTTAGACCTCTTGAAGGCAAGTGATCAGATCCCACCATCAAAACACTTCAGCTTTTGCCATTCTGTTTTAACTTTCTCTCCCTTGTAAGAATGGGAGGCATTTCCTTTTCACACTGATCGCTTCCCAAATACTGAACAGAAACAGTCATGGAGCACTTCTGCCTCTTCTGCATCATTTATTGTCGATTTCATGGTCATGTCTGTGCAGCATTGTTACCCCAGCATGTGCCAAACCCTACATCTTTTCTGTTGTGTTTTTCCATCGTGCAAGTGCAGCAGCCTCAGTCTCTAGGCAGTACGAAGGGGCCCCGAAATATGCCAAAGCTGGCAGGACAGAGATGCTCTGTCCAGGTTTTTGAGGAGGTGCTGGCCTGGGGCCCAGATTTTTGCCACGTTAGGAACAGCCAGTCTTGACGTCTGTTCAGACAGTGCTTTTGGAGGGCCTGGGCCCAACAGTTGGTAGATCCAGCTTTTTCCCAGACTCTGCTTTTCTTTCATACTTTTGTCTGCCTGTTCCGTCCTTTTCTCCCTGCCGACAGAATACTTGATGTTCTCTCCCCAGTCCCTGTTCCAGAGCCCTCACATCTAGCTTGTTGCCCTGCCCTTGTTCTCCAGACCCTCCACCTCCACCCTTACTCCTGTACCTGCTATGTCATGGATTGCTGCTAGAAGCAGATTTCCTGGGGAGTCAGAGTTGGGATGGGTAGAGGCTTAGGAGGTCCCAAGCTATTCTTTGGGATGCAACGCTTTTTCTCTTTGTAGTTTGTGACAGAGCAAAGAAATCAGTCCCCAAATGGCTTGGCCCATCCAGTGCAGCACAGAGCCAATGGAAAGTCACTGCTAGAGATTAGAGGGCCTAACTAACCGTTTGGGGAAGTAGGGGACAGAAGGTTGGGTTCCTGGGTAGTTTGGAGAGGTGACAAGATAACAGGGAAGGAATGAGCTGGGTGCTGGGAAATAAGGTAGGTATAAGGAAGGGGTTTGTGGGAGGAGATAGCAATGCTTTATGGCCCATTCTCTGTCATGCTAAGATGTTTGTCTAAGGCAAGCCTTGTGAAAGTGAACGTTGTGCTCCTGTGTTGTATAGGGGGTAAACTGGAAGTGTGAATTCCCACATCAAATGCTTTCACTACAACTGTTGGTTTAGATCAATGAAAGTAAGTTCTGGGGTAGGGCCGTGGGAAAATGGAGGCTTGGAGCGTGGAAGCATGATTATCTTCAGGGCCAAGATGTTTACTGTGTCTGGAAGCCACAGGATGGATCTTGTGTAAACTCCTGATGGGGAAAGGGAGTGAACCAATACCTTAGCTGACCAGGATCTGCTCTAGCTCCTTAAATGTATCTCTGGCTCCATCCATTTGACATCTCTAAGCAAGAACTGCAAGCAGGCAACGGAATATCTGTCCCTTGTGAGTCCCATATGTTGGGATGTTATTCCATTGGCCCCAGCATGTCCTAAATTGCCCTTGCTTTGCCCTGTCTGTGCTTGTGGTGGTCAAAGACAGTCTGGGAGCACTATGGTAATAAAGCTGGTGGTGAGACTGGTTTCTGCCTTGTGTTGGGACTGTCCTTTAGCAGAAGCAGAGCTGGCCTGAAGGAGTGGCTTGGGACAGCAGTGTATGTGGTAGGTCCCTCAGAGGATCTGGGGATCAGTGCTGGGGTGTGGAGACCCTCAGCTCTGAGAAGGGGGCTGTCTGGGGAGGCACACTGGGGATGATGGGGTTGGGGGTGCAGCCCTTTTTCTTGAGTCTGGATCTTCGTGTCTCTTCCAAAAGCAATCTCGTATGAGGGGCAATTCTGGAGCTGAGGGGAAGGTGCCTGGACCAACCAAGATCTGAGATTCTCTACACTTCTCTTTTAGGGCATTCTCCTCAAACGCAGTGGCAAGTCTCTCAACAAAGAGTGGAAGAAGAAGTATGTGACGCTGTGTGACAACGGAGTCCTCACCTACCACCCCAGCCTGCACGTAAGTGCTGCACTTGAGCTGCGGTGAGGAGCAGGGTGGGACAGAGCAGAGTGTCCTCCTTCCTGCTGTGGCTGATGGTGCAGGACCTCCTGCAGATGCCATAGTTGCAAAGGGTTGCTTGGAAAGGGTCTGGCAGCAGGTGGAAGCCCCAGTTTCTCCTTGCAGCAGGACCTAAAGCAGGAGGTGCAGCACTACCCTCTCTGGGACAGGCTTATTAAGCAAATTTGGTACGTTGTTATTTACCAGAGTCTGGAGAAAACCTCTTCCCTTTCCTGAAAACTGCCTCTCTGCAGTGTCAGATGGGTGGGAAAAGCTGATAGGAACATGCTCTGCATAGAATTATGCTAAGTAAATGCATCTTTCTTTTCTCTGTTTCCCTTGCTCAGTCCATTAAAGCAGGGGTTGCTGCCTCCCTGCCTCTGGGGTGAGGAACAGGCGGAGAACTCCTTGCAGCCATATCTGATGGTGCCATTTGGGTGTAGAATAATTTTCCTGGCTGCTAGGTATTGGGTAATGGAGATGAGGTGCCTGTGCAGAGCCTGCCGAGCTGAGCTGTCACTCGATGCATCTCTGATCCTCTTCACTGCTTGGCTCAGGCACACAGCTGCCTCCCCATCCATCTCTGTCGCCTCCCCACTGTGGGGCTAATGACTTCTTCCCCATTCCCTCTTGAGCACAGTTTGCTGCTGAGACTGTGAGCCACGGACAGACACACCTGTGGCACTACAGGCCACAGTGCCTTGTGAGCAGAGGACGTTGCTTTCACAGGAGAGCATAACAGCGGATGGGAAGGGCAGGCTGGAGGTTGTTTGCAGAGCGGTTTAGCAGGATGCTGAAAAGTGCTCTGGGACGAAAGGGCAAAGAGCACCGTGCTCCAGCTCCTGTGCTCCCTCAGCACTCCAGGGCCCTTGATTTGTCTCTGAAGACCTCAGACACAGGGGTATTTGAGTGCCCTGAGCCTCACAGCCTTTCTCCTCCCTCCTAAACCCTGTGGCCCCAACTCATGGGCTTGCTATACTCAGTCCTCCAGGTCCTGAACCCTGGAGCCTTTTAACCCTCCTATCCTTAAACTCAAAAGCTAGTCATTACACATCCTTTCTGTAATTCATGGCACCTCTGAAAATAGTTTTTTCCTTTTAGTCTTTGATCCCTGTACCATGTAACGTGTTGTCTAGTTCTACAGTTTCCTAACTTTGTAATCCCATTTTTTTGCCTTTATAGAGTCAAACTGGGAGGGAGTGACTGCTGCCTGCTCTGTGTGTGTGTGTGTGTGTGTGTGTGTGTGTGTATCATGTGCATGTGTGGGAGTATCATCTTTTCAATGGAGACATCATAGCTGCTCTGTGTGTGTGTGTGTGTGTGTGTGTGTGTATCATGTGCATGTGTGGGAGTATCATCTTTTCAATGGAGACATCATAGGTCCTTGTTACAATCAACTTAGAGGCAGAGTAGTTTCTGGGGTGTTGTTGAACTCTTCACAGATGATGCTGCTACACACTGATTTCCCTCCTCTTTATACATTTCTTCCTTGGGGGTGATTGAGATTGATGTCACTACCCTTCCTTATGGCACTTCCTTCAGTGTTTCGTTTCATTACTATATTCCCACAAGCAAAAATGCAGTTTGCTTCCTCCTGGTGCTATTGGTGACCACAGCCTGTTACTAAGAAAAGACCAAGATAGGCCTCTCCTCCCCTAGGTTACACTGAAAGCTTTGAACCTTGCACCCAAGATATATATTGTCCTAAATGTTTACCTAGAGCAGTGGCTAATTCCCGGGGTACTGCAGATCATGCAGCTGCCACCTGCCCAGCTCTGGCTCCTGCAAGGACAGGGAATCCTGCACGCTTTCTCCCTCACATTGCCGTCCTGAGAATTAGGACAAAGAGCAATGACGCCTACCATCATGTTGTGTTTTTTCTGTGACGTGGGCAAACTCAGGCTTTGATGCACAGTTGTGTGCAGTTCAGATTGCCAGAGGCCCCTCTGCCTTGCCTTGCCTTCCCTCTGGATATCTGGTTTACCACCTACTTAGAGGGGACAGAGGTAGGAAGGCACCCTGGGGGAAGAAAGAGCCCAGAAGAGGATGTCCCATTATATCCTCCCCGTAGTGTGCCATCTTCTAGAACGAATCAGGAGATGCTGCCGTGCTTTTGTCACCTGGTTTGTCTTGTGTGGTATAAGCCAAGTTTCCATGTTCTTTCACGGGCCATCACAAAGCAGAGCATGTTAGGACTGCACAGCCTGGGTCACTGCTCAAACCTGTGTTCCTGAGGAAGGACACATGTTTCTTTGCCACTTCCGTTCGTAGCAACAGCTGTCAATCCCACAGGCATGTGGTAAGGTAAGCTGCTCCCAAGAGCAAGCATACAGGATCCCCTGTCAAGGAGACACTCAGCGTCCTGCACTTCACTGAGTCGTTTAGTCCCAGCCTCACCCCTACCTTGTTCAGCATGAACCTGTGCTGCCATGTGTCTAGGGGATGGCAGAATTAGGGGTGCAGCAGAGGCATCCCTGAGGACATGGCTGAATACTGAGGGAAGAGGATTTTTCCCAGCCCATGTCAGGACTGTTCAAACAGGGAAGGCCTTTTTGTGCTGCTTTTGCATTCCCAGTGGCTTTTCCTTGGTGTGATTCAGGGCAATTCCTGTCTAGACATCTCTTCTCTTGCATCTCCTTTTCGTTCTGTCCCAGCCTCTCCTGGGATGGATGTAGATATCTCATGGACTAGCAGCCCTGACATTCTTCTTTTTCCTCCAGCAGGCATATCTTCCTCAAATGTGTCTGTGCCTCCTCAAGTAAGAGTTGCCTCATGGCACTGTCTAGGTCATACTTCTGATATTATCACCCAAAAGCTTCCTGACTAAGATAGTCGTGTGCTCTTGTGTGTTTATCACTCTGCCAGTTTCAGGATCTTATCATGGCACCTCCATCCCCACTTTGAAGTTTCCTCGCTGGGAGTAGGGCTGAACTGTAGATTTGCAGTGATGAGTTTAGTAGAAGCGCGGTCATGTGAGCTGGATTCAGTCTTGTAAGTAAATGTTCCTTAATTCCTTGAAGAAAGTGTATCTGACTTGACTAGCAGCTTGGACCTATGCTTGGGTCTTACGGAGCTGTGTATTCCTGCTTTTAGATGTCACCTCTGCCTTTTCTCTGACATAGTCAACAGTTTTAGAGACTTTGTAAGTAAGACCTCTGGCGCTGGAGCTGTGAGTAGCAGCTCTGGCTGAAGGCAGGAGTGTTTGAGGGGCCTGATCCCTGGATTCAGCACAGCTTTTCTTGTTGCCTCTGTATTTTTTCTTATCTTTCTGTGAGTATATTCACTGAGAAGAAAAGAACAAGTTTTATGAAAAGACCGGTGTGGTTTCATATCACTTTCCCAAAGCCTTGGAGAGCAAACGCTTCTGCTCGTGAGGAAAGCGTATGTGGTTCAGCCCAGCTTCACTGGCCAGGCTGCGCTGTGCTGCACAGAGCTAGAGAGAAAGCATCTCCCATTTTGCAGCCAGTGGAGCCATTCACACAATCACCTTCTGTTAATTCTATCTGCAACATCAATTAAATTGTTTGTAGAAACTAATTGAATGTGGCTTAATCACACATCTTAATAGCTTTCCACGCTTTGAACTCGTTGTTAATTCCAGTAATAAAATGAAATGAGAGAACTGGCTGGGTAATTAGCGAGGAGGCTTGGGAAGAAATTGCTGTTTTATAGCATGTAATAAAAGCAGTGCGCTGGTGACCGCTCTCTCCGGCAGGCAGCCGGCTAGCACAGCGATTGTGCTGAGTTAGGGAAAATCCTCCAGCCCCTCTGAGATTCCCTGCCCAGGGGTGTCACCAGGCTCCCACCCAACCAGGAGCAGCTCGGAGTAATGTTTAGTTGGGCTAGTTTTCTAGAGATTGCTTGGGACACCCAGGGTGTGTGCCTGTCTTGATTGTCATTTAAGTTCAAGTCCCCCAGAAGCTAGAAGCGCAGAAGGGTGCGTTGCGTTGTGCTGCACCCATCTTCCATTTTAGCTGTGAGAACTTGATGCCTGTATATGAATCTGTGGAAAGAAAAGAGTTCAGAGCAAGGCGTTTGAGGTGCTGCTGAGAGGTTGTAACCCTTGCACATAGCGACCAGAGCCCAAAGAGCGTTGCCCGTGCAGCCCTCTTTCACCTACTTCTTGGAGGCAAGGACTGGGAGAACAGCTGCTCTTAAACTGATCTTGTTCGTGTCTTCATCCTCTTGAGTCTGGAAGCAGACGATTTATACGGGGACCAACTCTGAGTTAATCTTTTTGGTGACCTCCTTGTGAACTGGAGCAAACCAAAGCCTCCCTGCTGAATGAAGAGCTGCAGTCTCACCTTGGACAGTTGCCGTCACTCATCCCCCAATTACAGTGTGAGTCCCCACAGCAGGAGCTCATGGGAGGTCCCAGTCCCAGGGCCAGGAACGGATGCGCCCCCATTGCGTGGCAGGGGAATTCCTTCCAAACTCTCTGGGACTCAGCTTTCTGTCCCCGTGCCCTTGAGGTTTGTACCCCAGAGCAGGAGAGGGCAGTTTCCCTCTGTGCATCTCTGGGGAGATCACGTCGGTCTGGTCTTTCCCCTCTGGGTAGCACAAGTCCAAGAAAGATGCTGCCACATTGGAGAGGGCTAGGGGAGAGCTGCAGTGCCCTGTGGAGCAGGAGGAAGGGTGGAAGAAACGAAAGAGGATGCAGCTCTCAGGAGAGGCTAAAGGTGTGCAGCCTTATTTAGTCTGAAAGGTGAGACAGTATTAGGAGACAGAGCAGGATGATATTAACAAGTCTGTATGTGGAGTTTTCTGGTTGCTACCATAACCTACCGGAAGGAAAGGTAGAAACACCACGTTTGGAAGCGTTTGAAGATGCACAGGTGAATGTACAAGGGAATTATCCTGAGTTGTGTTTTGGAGTTGAATTATGCTAGCGGTGAACTGAGAGGGAATTTCCAGCTATTATATTACTTATATTATAAGCTGCTATAGCTAAGTGCTATGACGACAAAGACAACAGATGACAGGAAAGAACAGTCTGTCATCTACGTGCTCTTTTGCTCCATCTACCCTCCGCTCACCTAGCCAGGTTTTCACAAATGGGCTTGTCATGACATCTGAGCGCCTGTGGCTACATCTTGACATTATTCACATTAGAACCAGCTAGATCTGGGCAGTGGAAGTGAAACCTGGTGCTTCTCTGGAGCCAGTTATAACTCGTCCTCTAGGGTCACAAAAAGGCAAATTGGAGTCAAGGAATTGCATCTGTATTGTCGGAAGATGGCTGGCTGTGGGCACTGGGAAGAGTCACTTACCTCTAGCCCACCTGGCTTGGTACCTCAGCGTAGTGCAAGAGAAACCAGCATGTGAGCTCCCAGATCACTTCCACGTTGCTGGCTGACCTCCTTGCTCCTGTCTGTTAATTAATTGCTATTTTGATGAATAGGTCCGAGTGAATTGGTTTTGAATAAGGGAATGAGAGGGGAGCTGAGTGAGATGGCCCGGAGACAGGCTGAGCTTGAATGGTTCTGCCTCTCCACTGTAGGATTACATGCAGAACGTCCATGGGAAGGAAATCGATCTTCTGAGAACAACGGTGAAGGTGCCAGGCAAGCGGCTACCCAGGGCGACAGCGACAGCAGCACCCAGTGCCAGCCCCAAGGCCAACGGGCTGGCGAAGGAGAGGAGCAGCACGCAGCTCACGGGAAGCACAGGTAAGGAGGGGTCCTGAGTCACAGAAGTGGGGATCATCCCTCCCTCCTGCGCATTAGCGGTGCCTTCTTTAGCTGAACCAGCAGCAAAAGCTGTTCTGATGTTCCTTTTTTTAACCACTCTTTGTGAGTGCCTTGAGTGCATGTTCCTGTTTCTGTGCAAGTGTTCAGGTGAGCTGCCTGTTGGGATTATGCTGGCTAATTTCCAGGGCAAAAGAAAAGGTAGAAGGGCTATAACTACTGGCATGAACTCGCTGAGAGGAAACAGTCGAGTCTGAGCAGTTACAGATGAAGCTGTTGCTCCCTGAAATAAGGGAAATCTCAGGCCAGGGATGTCTCTCGATCCCTGGAAAGTTCTGTTGTGTCTCTCTCCTTATTTGTGGCTGTTTTTTCCTTCACTTTGTCCTGGAGAGACAGTTATGCAAGAGGATAGTTTTGTAATTGTTATTTATTTTTCTGTGTGCACGTTCAAGAAGAAGACACACCTGCCACCAAGACAGGAGAGGGTCACGTTGGGAGAGTCCCTGATTTCTCAGGGAGTTCATGCCACACTGCTTGCCTCCTGCCACAGGAGGTATCTCTCCCTGCCCGGGGGAATTACTGAACTTAGAAGTTTCCTGCCCACGTTACCGAGGGCCTTGAGAAGTCTTGACTTTGTTCTGGGGCTGGTATCCTTAGCAAGAATGGACAGTTTCCACATGCATTCTTCTTCCCAGCCAGCTGCTGGCAGCAGTCTAATATAGCCGGATATAGTCAACTCTACTCTTCAGGGTAACAGGAGAGTGCTGGCATGCCCCTGCGTGCATGCTGCGTTTCCTGATAATGGAAATTCTCGATAATCTTCTACTGCACAATGTGCCACCTAGGGTGAACCTGGGTGACCAGCACATCCTATTTTCTATCCAGTCCTGCTGTGCACTCAGGTTGTATCTTGCAGTCGTGTGGTTGTCTGCACTGTGCTTCGCGGGTTTTGGGGGCTGAGGTCTCATTAGGTGAGGTGCAGCTGGAACAAATGCAGGGAACTGGCTGGGGTCCTCAGCAGCACACGGGCTGCTGGAAATGGCTTCGTGCTGGCATTGCTGTGTTCACATGGAGCTGAGTGTAAAGTAGTAAACCCTTCTGAACCCGAATTGCTGTTTCAGTAGAGTCAGAATTAGTCTGCAGAACAGATAAACTGCTAGTGAATGATTGAAATTACTGTATTTTTTGATCAAGGCAGTGCAGCTCAGAAGTGCTCTACCTGTTTTCTGCAGCTGCTGTCCCCTGCACGCTCGCCTTTCTTCACCACCACTGTACACCTTCAGCACGCATGCATTTTAATATGCCCAAATGCAAGGCAGTAATTCTGTGATGTGAGAATCAGACAATACCTGCAGGATGAGAGACTAACTTTGAAAGCAGTCACTGGGACAGGATTCAAGAGTTACTGTACATAGCTGTATCTTCATGAGCTCTCAATGCTGAGGGGCAACTATATGAAAAGGGCAGGTCAGGCCTGAGTAGGATAATAATTCTTGCCTCTGTACACAGCACTTCTCAGATATGTATTTCTAGGGTACTTGGGCTGATGCTAGTACTTAGAGAAGGTTATCAGAGCTATGGGAAGAATTCAAAGACATACTGCAGAAAAGCCGATGGTAATGTCAAACCGAATGTCCACGTAACCCTGTATCCTGCTTTTGACAGTCGTCTCAATCCTGTTTGGCTCACAAGAAAAGAATGAGATGTGACTTGATCACTGGTTACTGCTGCTTGGAAAACCAGTACCTAGAAAAGAGATCTGTGCTGATAGCAGACAAAGCGTGAGGAGATCCAGTGCATGGAAGCTGAAGTTAGAACAATTTAAACTTGAAATGAGATGTAGCTTCCTACCAGGGAGGGTAATTAAATGTTGAAATAGTTTATCTGGAGAGCCAGTGGACTTATCACTGCTTGAAGCCTTTAAAATGAGATTAGTTATCTTTCTACAAGATATGTTGTAATCCGGCTCATGTGCCTGTTGCTGCACCCATGCGTGCATGCAGGGGATCAAACGAGATGGATACAACGGTCTTTTGTCATGTAGAAATTTGTGAATTTGAGATTCCCTGTTCATCGCCTTTTCTTCTGGGTCCCTGAGCACAACAGTGCTCCTATCCTGCCGAGAACGTGCGTATCAGACCAGGACTCGGTGTTAAGGCAGCAGATTTTATGTGTCTTTGCTTTGGGTGGTTGTCTGCAGTGGTCAGGAATTTTTTTTCAATTACTGTCATGCCTCCGAGACTGATTGCAGTTGGTGATGCAATCGCCATGGTAAGTGCTCTAACAGAATAAGAATCCTGCTTACGGTGACTTGCTCATATCCTCCCCTAATGCAGAGCACTGGATTTGGGGTCAGGAAAGAATCTGCCCTGCCTCAAATTGGCGGGGACTTGGCAGTTTTTCTACCTTTGGGGCTAGGGACGGGACCATTACTGGGATCGACTGGGCATCTGTCACCTAATACATGCTTTGGGCAGTTGGAGAAGGGACACCTCAGGATTTCCTGTTCTCTGCCTGTGCACAAATGAGTCTTCAGAGGACATGCTCTTTGAAGACCTGAAGTAATCATCGTCTTACACCAGGAGTGTCTAGTTAAAAGCAAAACAAAGCCTGTGTTTGGAGTTCAAAGCAGGTGATCTATTATCTCCTCATGGCCTGAGCTCTACTAAAGCTCCTGAATGTGTTGATGTCCACTGGATGCACAGTCCTCACCCAGGAGTGAGAAAATAAGAAGTAGATAAAAGGGAGGAGGAGAAAAGAAGATAAAATATCTCATTCCTCCCAGTCGCTGTATAAAGTGCACATACAAAACACTGATGAAGATTCAAAATAACCTCTGAAGTAAATACAGGCATCTTCAAAATCCAGTAGTACGCAAGAGCTCTGGCATCCAGCCTGCCTTACTGAGCTGGCTTGGTGTAAGTGGCCATAGCTTCGCCCATCGCGTCAGGGAAGGGCAGGCTGACAGAAATGACTGTGGGACAAACACTCCTGCAGGTTGGGCATAAATAGAGTGAGAATGGGGAAGGAGCTTGTGTTTGTGAAACCTGTGGGACCCTGAGCTCAGTGGATAATCGTACCTTTGCTATTTGAACCACTGAAGAAGGGAACTTTACTGCTGTCAGAATTGTTTCTAGTTTAGGTTTCATTCATTTTCCATTGTAAACCCTGTTTTCAGAGGCGCAGAATTTTGACAGACTTTGCGGCCATTTGTACTAAAAAATTCTGATTTGTATCTATCTAAGGCGTACTTTTTGTGGAACATTCAAGCAAATGTGGCATGCTGCGTTGTTTGCCAGTATTAAAAATTTGTCTCCAAGAGCTGTAAATCTTCAGAGATTTGGTGGAAAGATTGGCTAGAAGCAGAAATTTTGTCCCGAGTTAGAAATGTGATTTTTGCTGTCCCCTGGAAAATATGTTGTGATTGATCGAAGTTTTGGAAGTTGGTTGATGAAAGCTCTGAAACACTTAATCTAGTACTGGCGCTGTCAAGAGGTCCTGGCAGGATGGCCTCTGCTTTTCTAACCTTTTTTTTGCCTTCACTTTCCAACTGTAATGTCCTCCTCATTTTTTATTTGTTTGAAATTTTACTGGTAGAGAGACTAGCCAGGGGTGAAAAAGTAGCTGATGTAGGGCATAGGATCTGTTAATAGGTTTAGATCTAAATGCAAGTAACCAGCATTGGCACAACATTAAGACTGAGCAATCAAGCCCTTCAAAGTCAGGACATTTCTAAAGTGCAGGTTACTGGCCTGTGTTGCCTCAGCCAGCTTGCACTTCTGGCCTGTTGCATTACTTGCAAACAGTGCATTATGCAGAGTTACATTTAACAAAGCAAACCAGCCGAGGAAGCACAGCCCCACACTTGGACCTGCAGTGGATTAGGAAGGTGTGTACCTCATTCTTGTCTCGATACCAAATTTGCTGTTTGTGTATTTTGCTCACACACCTCCCTGGCTGCATCCTGGAAGACCAAGAGCAACTCGAGGAAGTATCAGCCAAAGGGACTTTGTCTGAGAACATTTTGAATATGCTTTCCAGAAGCATCTTGCATATGTCCAGATATTTCCTTGGCACTTTTCTCCTGCCTTCATGTCCTGTAGGTTTTGTTAGCAGACTTGTAGACTAGCCTTGAACCACTTGGTCCTCTGAAATTGTGGTTCCTAAACAGTCTCCTGATTTTGCCAAGGACAGCCCTGTGAAGATAACCCTGTTAAAGCTCCCTCAAGGAGGACGTCAAAGACTTAGATGTTAACACAGGGCTCTTTGGACTAGGTGTCCTGCATCATCTCCCCTCCTCCAGGACACTGAGTGGCCTTATCCTGGGAGACAGGTGGAGGAAAAGGGCCACATAACACTGAATTCCCTGAAAGCTGCAAGCATGCAGGGAGAGGGAAAACTTGCTTTCCTGAGAGTGCCCGAACAAAACATCCTGTCACTTTAGATGAGAATATGTTGTGACTGATGCCCATGAGGGCTAAGAAGAGTATAACTAAAACACTTTTTATGATTTGTAATTTATAAAATGTTATTTTTAATATAACAACAGTCCAAGAAGTGTTTTGACTAGCAAAGGCGCCACTTCCTCAGATAAGCCATCAGTATTGCATTGACATGAAGTAGCGCATAGGCAGGGCTTGGCAGAAGGAGGGAGATGACACTGACCGCTTAGGGTTACACCGAGAAAGATGTTGCAGGGGAAATGAGGCTGGTTCCATGAGCTTCCATGTTTTCTTTCAGATTTGGATCTGTTAGCTCTCTCTGGTGGGGTTGGGCGGTTGTGTGGGTGCTGGACATCAGCTTTTGCAGCTAGATCATTCAGACAGGTAAGAGTCTTGCTGGTGAATACTAAGACAGTATTTTATGTTTTCTCCTGTAACAATTTCTTCTGAACTTGGAGTGAAAAGTCAGATATTTAGCACTGCTTAATGAATCTTGTCTTTATTTTACAATTAAGTCTTCCTTCTTGTTGAGGTAAGATG